GCCGAGCCACCTCGGGGTGGCTCGGTGGCCGAGCCACCTTGGGGTGGCTCGGCCATGAGCCGAGCCACCCCAAGGTGGCTAGGCACAGTGTCGGCCACCCCGAGGTGGCCGACAGTGGCCCGAGGTGGCCGACAGTGGCCAGAGGTGGCCGACAATTCCCTTTTTGCAGCCACTGTCCTGAGAGCCTATAAATAGGCCTAGAGATGTTCATTTTCAGGGGTCGAACTTTCAAGAGCCGAAACTCTGCCGGATTGAAGAGTGAACTCGGAGCTTGAAGACCAGAAGACTTGCACCATTCAGATCTGATCCTCGGCGACCATCCACGTCAGAAAAGGCAGGATCTCGAGAGGAAGAAAGAACAGATCTGAGATCTACACGAGACTACACTCCAGATCTAAGCTTGGTCTTAGATCTCGAGATCTGAGCGATTATTCCCTTGGTGGATTAATCCCTCCCGGCTATTATTCCCTTCGTGGAATAATACCCGCATACTCGTGTAGATCCGACCGGATCTAGATCGCGCGGTGGTCCACGGATTAACCCCGGCGCAGGCAAAGAACCCACCAAAGCGAGCGACCGCAAAACAGGAGCTCGTGATTTGTTCACAGAGGAGAGTTGTAATTTTTCTTTATTTTCTTTGATTTAGTTGTAACCGGATCTATAAAAGACCGGATCTTTGTAACCCAAGATGACAATCATATCAATGAAAAAGAAAACAGTTTTCCACGCGAACAATCTGGCGACCACAGTGGGAGCCGACGATCTCGCCAACGAGATCGATGCGTCGCAGCCGCGGATTGCAATCCCGGTCGTGGAGGAGGTCGAGTACGAGTTCGACCAAGCCAAGTTCGAGGAGTACGTGTCCTCGTCCGGCTCTATCTCCCCCCGCAAGTCCAAGAAGTTCTCCTCCGGGAGAAAAGCTCGTTGGTTTGAAGCTGCTCGGGAAGCCCACGAAGCTCTCAACCCAACTGACGCCGAAGTTGCGTCAAATGAAGTTCCACCGACCTCCAATCAGGTCAACCCAACTCCCGCCAACGCCTCTACTGTTCAGGGCGTTGTGACTCTCTCAAAGAGAGCCCGCCAGAGGCGTCGTCAACGCCTTGCGCGGCAATTCGCTAAGGCGATGGAGTCTACGGACGGATTCCGCTACCACGCGGAGTTGAAGAACAGAAGAGGCAAACAGCCTCAACCACCAATGAATGGCGACTCTTCCAAGCCGCCAAAGAAAGAATGGGTCCGCGTCAAACGGAACCGTTCGACACTCGAGGAGCGCATTCGCAAGCGCCGCGCGATGTCAGCGCAGGCACGGGCTCAAGCTCAGGAAGCCCGTAGAAAGCTGCAAAAGGAGGTGGAGAAGAAGCCACCACCAACACGACAAGTCTGGAAGCCTAAGTCTGAAGTGGCGACTCAGGCCAAAAAGCAACCAGTGCAGCCTTCTAAGGAAGGTCAAACTCCGGCGAGTCAACCAAAGTCGCCGTCAATCCCAATAACTTCTCCGGGAGATCATGCAGAGTCATCCCGCAAGAAGAAACCAATTTTGGAGCGCCTCGGTCCAATTCCTGACGTGAGAGGCAAAGCTCCAATTCACGAGCGTTTGGGCCCGATGAAGAAGCCCAGAACGACTCAACATACTGGGGGTCGCCATCACCTCCAGCATGACAAAGACCTCAAGGCAGCTGCGCGCACCAATTTGCGCATTGAAGTCCAAGATCACGCCGAAAATTCACGCCCAAAAAGGCATGTTTTGAGGCGGGTAACCTTTGAAAGCCCAAAGAAGGCAAGTCAACCTCAGATGGAAACATTATCATCTGATAATGATTGTGTTGTACCTGAGAAGGCGTGCCCGCACACGATAGGTTACTCTGACTGTCAAAATGACGAGTTGTACTATCGTGCTGGGGGTACGAATAGAACCAGGAAGAGGAGTCCCCGAGAACGGGAAATTCAATGTCCCTGTTCCAAACTCATTCGGGCGGTATTGTCGGAATGCAATTGCATTAAGGCGGTCCCCGAAAGAGTTTCAGTTTTTGAAAGACTTAATGCGGAAACGCCAAAACCAAGGCCTAGGCGCTTCCAACGAAGAAGAAGGGTGATTGAAGACGGAGAATTTCCGAGGGTCACCACCAACATGACGAGCAAAGGGACATCGGCACGAG